ATCATCGGAGGAAGGAGGAAAGGAGTGACTGAAGATTGGACGGTCTACCAAAAGAGGAGGTTCAAGTATGCTCGCGACCAGTTTGCCAACCTTGGATTTCAGTCGGCGGTGGAACTCTTCATTCACAAGAACTGGCTCTGGGCGAAAGATATCGCTTGCTTTGCCAGAGGCTTTGCGTGTCAAAATATCCCGACAGCTACGCTGCGCACGGACAGAGTACATGTTGATCCGACAGCTTCGCTGCACACGTACAGTCAGGCTCACACACATGTCCATTCTTTGTTGCCTGTGCCGCAGGTTGATGACCGTTCCTTCGACACGTTGCCCAGTTATATTCAGACAGCTACGCTGCACACGAACAGTGGAGAACATACACACCCTCGTTCGATGTCTTCTGTGCCGCAGGCGGAGAGAGGAAGTTCTTTCGATCAGTTGCCTTGTTATATTCCGACAGCTACGCTGCACACACACAGTACACACTTCATTCATTCTCATTGTCCGCCTCGTGCTTTGCCTCAGAGTGTTTCGCCTGAGCCCCAGAGACCTGCGGCTATGTTTGGTAGCCGTGGGGGACTGACGGAGCACAACAAATATTGTCAACGTTCTTCTGGTCGTGTGTCGTCTGCGTCCAGTATAAGAGTTTCTTTGGAGCCGAACAAAAAGGATGCTCATTGTTCTTCTGGTCGTGTGTCGTTTGCGTCCAGAATAAGAGCTCCTTTGAGTGATCCGCTGCAGGTGGCGCATCTGTTTGAGTGCGCCAGGCTCCTGGAAGAAAGGGGGCAGCCAGCGCGAAGCCCAAGGCACTGCCAGTCCTGTGGCCACAGCCCCCCCAGTCGACGGTGAGAGCGAACCCACGCCCGCGGCCAAGAATCGTCGCAGGCAGATTGTGGAGACCCGACTGGCCGCCAGGGGAGAGAAGCGGTGCCCTGGCCCGAGTCTCACTGCGAGCCAGGAGGAGCTCGCCAAGCGTGTCAGACAGCCCCAACGCCCATGCGACAAAAGAGATCGGGATGAAATATGTTCGCCAAGGGGCAGTCAAAAGAGACGGTGTATTGCTCAGGTGAATGATGACCCCATCGCTTCCGCCGATAGTCTGTCTGCTGCCCCACAGGGAAGTAAGCGACCACGGGACCCCCCCTCTTCTAATCAAGATAGTGAGCCGCGAGAGGCACGACCCTCTGGCGCAAACGTGAATGTCTTCAAACTCAACGCCTACTCTCAGGCGCGGTTGGGCATGATGCATGCGTCAGGTGACTGGGCCGCTCATCGTCGCGCGTTCGCTGCACGCTCGAGGGATTCTCAGGCTACCCTTCTTGGATGGCGTGGTGGTACTAAATATGTCGGTTGGAGAAAATTGGAAGATGTCTTCATTGCGGATCAAAATGGCAATGCTAAGTGGTGGGAGACTATGGTGTTTGGGAAAGAAGATTGGTCGATTTTCGTTGAGAAGTTGCTCAAAAGATTGCACCTGCCCGCCATTCTTGACTATCTGGCCAAACCTAGAGTTTCGGTTGTACGTACGGAGGAGGAGGAGACGAAAGTTAATAATGATAGGATTGCGCGTCGCATTGCTCATAACTTTGAAAATGAGACTATCTTTGACTATGAGTCGGATAAGATTCCATTTGAAATACTGGGTGACAGCTTGTGTGTGGTCCAATGGATAAGAGGGCACTGGAGGTGCACGAACATGGGCTATAACAACACCTTGGGGGCGGCACAAAACACTCTTGATGCTATAACGGACACCTGTTTGAGAACTGCGTGTGCGGGGGCTGACCCAATCAAACATCTTTATAGGGAGGGTAACAGTTATGCTGATGAACTCACGTGGGCTTGCAGAGCTTGCCCACACACATCGAAGAGAAACGAGTATCTTGCCCCTTTATATACTTCGAAAGTTTTAGGATTGAGGGGTTACTTCGACGGAGGCACCTCGGATATTGGGGCTGGGGGAGGCTGGTGGCTGCAGGCTTTTGTAGAACATAAAAATGCTATACAGTGTCACGTGATTGCCGAGGAGGCGTTTGGCCTCGATAGGGAGTCAACCGTGACGGTCTGTGAGTTAACGGCCGCCTCGAAGCTAATTCACGCAATCTCGCAGATTGCGTCTGTTATAGATAGCGTCTCACACGCTCGGTAGAGCCACTTGCGCCTGGGGGCCGCGGGGAGCACCGCTGCTTGCATGTGCTGGAGGACCCCACCGCAAAGCCCGCAAAAAAACCTGGTTGGAGGTTAGGACCTGGGAGGGGGGGGGGGGGGGCGATGGCGGACTGGAACCGACGGCGGTGCCATGAGGCCAGAGAACAGTTTCGATCCTACGGATTTGCGACGTTGGTGCAGCGTTTTCTGCGTGCAGTGTGGAATTCCGCCAAGGATGCCGCTGATTTCATGTCTATCTTGTGGGCTGATGTCCATGAGAATCTTTCTTCGACGCAGCGTGCCTGGTGAGACCGCCGCGTGATTACGGTTGCATACGGCCCACTTTGGGACAGACTCAGGACGGATGCTTCTGAGTTCCTGCGGGGGATATTTCGCTTCCAGGAGGCCTCGCAGCTCAAGAGGCGACACGCCAGTTCAGGCAAAGCTGTGGGTCAGAGATGCTGGGTATTTCCTTTCTGTGAATTCCACGGACTCAAATTGTGGGAGTGCTTTATGCCGACAGACTCAGGCTACATACAGTTCCGCGAGCACATGTGTACATGGGTTATGTCGAGTTATTTTCAGAAAAGAAAAGGGTACGGTACACCAGGTGGGGCCCTGCAGGATGCGCATCCTACTACACAAAACGACCTCCGCACATATGGGGCTCTCGAGGGGGCTCCAGCTTTCAACGACAAACTGGCCAAACGTATTGCGCTGCAATATATGAAGGAGGTTGTGTACGACCTCGACTCGTTTGGGATCCCGGTTTACATCTCTGGGGACAGTCTGCTGGTGGTGTCTTGGCTTCAGGGTGTCTGGAGGGTGCTCAATCGTACTTATCAGGATAGGGTAAGCAGAATGATTAACCAACTGCATAACATGTGTTATGCATTTGGTATTAGACCATGCGGCGTTCTCGATTGATCCAACTTCGACGGTGACAGATGCCGAGATCTCGGCCGTTGAGCATGCGATTGCTATTTTGCCGCGGGTTGTACAAGCGTATTTCGGATTTGAGATGATGTGAATAAGTGATTGTTGCTCACTCGTGCCATGCTTGTGTGTATGTGTGTGTCGTGCGTGCGTGCTTGACTTCACGCCCCCATAAGAGCTTAGGCTTCCGCCTTCCTGATCGTTTGGATCGGCGAGGCTCCGCCTGCTCCCGTTGCGCCCGCCCCTGCTCCGACTAGGCTGGAAAGCCTGCACAGTCGACCGCAAAGTCAGCCAACAACCTGGTTGACGGTCTACCGCCGGCTCCCAGTACTGCCGGCTCCCAGTTTTGCATAATGTTGCTTGGTTTAAATTCGATCTCCCGAAATTTGAACATTCGTTAGAGCTCTAGTAGTTTTCTCCTCATATTCGATCTTATTCCCGCTCGCCATCCGAATCTCAGGGCGATCAGGTACATATTACTGCCAAGAAGCATCACGGCGGGATCGGCTGTTTAGTGCCATCTTGACAGGTGCTGTCGTTTTTCTTAACTTAACTCGAGCTGCAGATGAGCTGCAGAGCTGGCAGGCACACCTAATCTATGTAGAATCATCAGGCGCGTTAGTATCAAGCATCTAGATGTCCGAACTCGGTCTGCTGCCAGAGCTGGGTCCGAGAACCCATTCGTACTCTGCTTTTTTTTCAGAGATGATGATGAGTTTCTTGATGTAACTCGTGCTGCAGCAGTGCTACAGAGCTGTCTGGCACAGCAATCGAACAATAATCATCCGAAGCGCTAGTCTCAAGTATCCAGATGCCCGAACTCGGTCTGCTGCCATAGCTGGGCCTGAAAAGCTATTCGTACTCTGTTACATTTTTCTAGAGATGGCGACAAGTTTCTTGATGCAACTCGAGCTGCAGATGAGCTACAGAGCTGTGAGGCACATCATTCGAAAGAAACTTAGCAACAGCGCTACTCTGAAGTATCTAGATTCCCGAACTCGGTCCGCTACCAGAGCTATGTCCGAACAACTATTCGTACGCTGCTGTTTTCTGGATATGATGATGAGTTTATGGATGCAGCTCGAGCTGCAGATGAGCTACAGAGCTGTTTGGCACAGCGATCGGAAGGAAATCATCAGACGCGCTAGTCTCAAGTATCCAGATGCCCGAACTCGGTCTGCTCTCAGAGCTGGATTCGAAAAACTAATCGTACTCTGCTATTTTTTAATATATCATGATGAGTTTCCGGAGATAGCTCGAGCTGCAGATGAGCTACAGAGCTGTTTGGCACAGCAATCGACAGGAAATCATCGGAAGCGCTAGCTACAAGTATCTATATGCCGGAAGTCGGTTGAATCCCAGAGTTGGAACTAACAAACTATTCGTACTCTAGTATTTTTTTTGCAGAGATGGCGATGCCTTGCTTCATGTAGCTCGAGCTGCAGATGAGCTTAGATCTGTTCGGCACATCAATTAGACGAATCATCAGGAGCGCTCGTTGCAAGTATGCACATGTTTGAAATTGGTCTGCTACCAGAGCTGGAACCAAACAACTATTCGCACTCTTGCTCCTCGTCTTCTTCCTTCTCCTCCTTCTCTTCCTCCTCGTCCTTCTTAATTTGCTTCTTTTCCTCTTTCTCCTGCTGCTCCTTCTTCCTCCTTCTCCTCATCTTTCTTCTTCATCATCGTCATCGCCCCTCTTCTCTCCCTCTCCACCCTTCCCCCTCCTGCTCGTCATTCTCCTCGTCCTCCTCACCTTTCTTCTCCTCCGCCTGTTCTTTTTTCTCCTCCTCCTTCTCTTCCTCAGCCTCCGCCATCTCCTTCTTCTCCTCGCTCCCTCTTCTCCTCCACGTCCTCCCCCATGAAGCTGCGCCCTTGCGCGCGCGGAATGCGATGCGAGATTGCCGCGCCCGCGTTCCACGAGGAAGCTCTACGAGTTCCCGGCGGTTGGTGCCCCCCCCGCCGCGCTTCCCCGCCCTCGGCCGCCCGTCATTCTTCCTCCTCCTCGGGCCTCGGTACCCCTCGCGATAGCGTCCGCTGCTCGGACGAGTCCTGCGACATCTCTGTCAGGAAGCTCTGCGAGTTCTGACATCGGCTTGCTCTTCCAGGTCAGCAGGTGCCTGTGTGTGTGGTGCGGTTGCTGGATTGGGCCCATTTTGCAGTGCAGCTGCTGCCGCATCTTGCGGATGCGTTTTCTGCTGTGACTTGCCTCGTTGTTGTGCTGGTCCGCAATGAGTATGAATCCTATGGCTTCAGAATTTGTTTCGGTGAACCCTACGAGTATGAATCCTATGGCTTTTGTTTCCGGTTTCATGATTTCTGATTTTGTTTCAGAGCGCATGGATTGCATGGCATCCGATTTTCTCTCCTCGCGTTTGTCTGTGCTCGAAGTGTGTGTGAATGACTTGCATGTTCGTGTTGGGACCCTGACATGTGAGCAGATGGGGAGGCCCGTCACGAAAGCGTCGCCCTGGCAACGGCGTCGTTTACGTGCTAGACAGGTGAAGCACCGTCTCTGGTTGTGTTCCACGTCTTCGTCGTGTCAGGTGGGGGATTTTACTGGCCTCTCTCGTGCCGATATCGTCGCACCTCGTTACTGTCGTAACCGCGGCCCTGCTGGGGCGGCACCGTGGACAGGCGTGCGAGCTTCTTCGACACCAGGGGTGGGGCCTTCCTTTCCGATGTACGTTTCTCCTGCAACGACAGCGGGCGTTGCGACGATTTCCCATCATTTTCCGAATGTCCGTGAGAGTGATCTTGCCGTGGTGGAGGATGCTCGAGTGGCTAGTCTTGATCCCGTCCCTGATGCCGTTCCCGATGTACCAGTTTCGGATGCGAGTGCCGCGGTCCAGCTAGCGGCAACGGGCGTTACGACGACTTCTCATCATCTTCCGAACGTGTCTGAGAGTGGTATTGCTGTGGAGGTGGAGGATGCTCGAGTGACTTTTGTTGAGCCTGTACCTGACGTCGTTCCCGATGCCTTTGTGCCGGATGCGAGCGCCTCAGTCAATCTTGCGACACTGGGCGCTACGATGCCTTTACCGTCTTTTCCCAATTTGTATGAGAATGGTGCTGCCGTGGAGGCGGAAGGTGCTAGAGGGAGCGGTGCCGTTCCCACCCCTGATGCCGTTCCCGCTGTGCCCGCTTCGGGGGCGAGTTGCTCGGTCCATCCTCCTGCTCTTGCGATTGACCCCAGAGCCATGCGTATCAAACGGTATTGTTTCCGACGAGAGGTGCCTCTTGCGGAGACTCCGCCAGTGCTTGCATCCACGGCGGATCATGTGGTTCATTCTCTCCTGCCGCGGCCGTGTGTGGACCCAAGCGTGCTGCGTGCATACTTGGGCCTGTTTCCGAAAGAAGACGATGACGACTCGAGTGACGAGGAGTCCGTGAATGCACAGAGAACTTGGGTTGTTGACTTCTTAGGAGCTTGGCATCAGTGCCCCCAAGAGGAGCGGGATGCTTTCGTGCAAGCCTAGGCGGAACCCCTGGTATATGGTCACTTCCTTGACATATGCCAATGCCTGCATTACTTTTCCACTGAGGAGCGAATCTATATTGCCCATCGGCGTAAGGTCTCCGTACTTGTTCAAGCTCTCTTGGATATCGTGGGGCTGGCGTGGCACTCCGCGTTGTAGGCCGACTTCGTGCCCTGTGGTCTGTGATGGGCCCTGTGAGTACGGCGTCAGGTCGCGCGGTGTTGCGCCGCAGTTCTATGAGTGCGGCTACAGAGTGTGTCGACTGCTTCGATGGGAACGGAGAGTGAGAGAGAAAAGGGAAACCGACCACTTTCAGTCAAAAATGGTCGGTCATTTATTGTTTGGCGGCGTTATATGAGTATGTTTGTGATTGAGTCCCTGCTGTTCTTCGCTCCTCTCTCCTCCTTGCTGCTTTCGCCCCTGGGCTCGCTTTGTCTCTTTGGGCTCCGCCGCTCTCCCGCTGGCTCTCCTTCGCTCCCCGCTTGCAGGGCTCATGAGAGACTTGCGCAATGTTATGTTGCAAAGGTGTGTGTGTGTGCACTCGTAAGTTGATTTTAGTCTCATACCAGTGCCTGCCTGTTCACTGGCGCGACGCCGGCGGTGCTGTGTTCGGGGCTGTGTGGGCAAACCCAGCTACATATTAGCAACAATGAATGCTTCGAACTTTCTCGGAGTGAGAGGCTTCTTTGATGGGGGCCGTTCCTCTGATGTTTGTGGCGGCGGCTCGGTTTTCGATTTGTACATTCTTCCAGCGCTTCCTTTTCATCTTAGCCATCTGGATGGATCCGCTTCTCCGAACGGTTTCTGGTGGTGCAGTGTTGTCTCAGAAGCCTTTCGTCTTCCGCCCTCGTGTGCAGTGGCCCAGGCTGAACTTCTTGCTGCAAAGCACCTCCTGACCGTTGTGGTGGCTGTCCTTCTGGCGCTTGGCCTGTTCCGCCACATCTGCGTTAGGCTGTGACTCGAGCGGGCCTGAACTCAGGCCTGTGGCTCTGCGCAAAGCAAAAACTAAGGTGCTGGGGAGAGAGAGAGAGAGAGAGAGAGAGAGAGAGAGAGAGAGAGAGGGAAAGAGAGAGAGAGAGAGAGAGAGAGAGAGAGAGAGAGAGGAGGTTGGAGGCGAACGTGCAGAAGTGGAGGGCGGAGATGAACACGGAGGAGGAGGAGGGCAACGACGGACACGTTGATCTTTGCCAACGGTCTGGAGTCTCAGGACCGCGAGGAGTGGGGGGGCGAGATCTTGGGGCACATGCAGGCTAAGGTTGAGGACCCCGAGGCCAGGGTGGCGACCCTCCGTGAGCTGCAGCACTTGCGAGATCTCTGTTCGGGCTCGGGGTCTTCGGAGGCGTTCTCGATGTCGCTCCTGCTTGGGGCGAGAGCGAAGCTGTCCGCGGGGAAAGCCCCTGGTCCCGACAACGTCACCGTCATGATGCTGAGACAGCTCTCGTGGTCGTCCCTCCGACGGGTTCTAGTGGGCTTCGAGGGTGTCTACTCCCGCAGGTTATGTTGTCCCGGCAGCTGGCGCCAACTAGCTGCTACTCTCATGCCTAAGGAGATGGACGTACAGCATTCGACATATACACGTGTGTTGTGCCTGCAGATGTGTCTCATGGAACGGTATATGACATGTATGTGATGATGATTGAGGAGAGGATTGAGGGGCAGCGCCACCATGTATGGCTTTATGGATTTAGATCGGGGCGGAAGACTTCTGAAATCATTAGCGTTCCCAAAAGGCTCAGTCAACACTCCGCTGTCTGGGGCAAGGGAGACAGTCTGTGGCTTGCGAATATTGATATTCTATAAGCATTTGATAATGTTACTCCATGCTGGCCATGCGATGTCTTCGCGCTCTCGGCATTCCGTCTGATCTCATTGTTGCGTTGATTGAACCCGTGATTGAGAACCAGTGCGTTGCCAGCTTCGAGGGTATCGAGGCATCTTCTGCTGTGAGATGGGACAGGTCCATTCGAACTGGAGGAGTTGAGGGACCAATGGTTTGTCTTGCAGTTTCTATTGTGCTCTGGAAGGATGTTATTGAGAGGAGGAGGCAGGATGCGCAGTACGGTATCGCGCTATAGAACGGCACATTCTTCGACGGTGAGCGGATGACCCACAGTTTCTGGGCTGCTAATCTTTTAATGTATGCGAAGACGCGCTCCGAGCTAGAGTTGATGATTCGTGACATGAGTATCCCGCTGGTGAATGCGGGGATGACCTTGAAGCCGAAGTCCCTGATGTACATCTACTTTGGCGCGCCGCCTGGCATCCCGCCATCCCCCGAACAGGCTATTCGTGTGCAGGTACCGTCTCGGGATCCTGCTCTTGAGGCTCAAGAGGTTGTCTTGCCGCGGGTCCTGTCTTTCGAAATCTTGGGGGCCACTCTGGAGGAGACCTGGAAGGACCACTCGGGCTCGGAGGCCTTGCTCCAGAAATCGCAGAAGGTATTCTTTGGGGAAGTTGCCTACCATCGTTGCTCCGGTATTGATCTCGTTGATAGATTCATTCGTTTCCAATCTAAAGTGATTGCTTCAATTGTGAAGGTCGAACGCCCGACTATACCACCATTGCTGCGCTGCGTACGTTTGAAGGGAGATGCCTGGCTCTGATGTCGGGCCAACGAAAGCGCAAAACGGAAGGGTGGACTGAGTTTCAACGGAGACGATACAAAGTTGGGCGGCAAGATTTTGTTTATCTGGGCTTTCGAAGTGCTGTGCAGATATGGCACTTTCGTTGTTGGGACTGGGCCTGGGATGTTTCAGACGCGGCAACCATTCGTGTGCGACGACGACAGATTTCAGATGACACGCCCGCAGCTTCGGAGAGTATGGTGGCACCCATGACTTCGGAGATGGCGGTGCCGAGTCGACGTCAGCTTAAAACTCGAGCGATGGCAGCGGCAGCGGCCTCTCAGGTATCAGGATGCGATCGTCGTTGTTCTGCTGCATCTAGCTCGAAAGAGAGGTCGCCAGACGACCTGCCTGCCATCGCTGCGGAGTCTGAGAACTCACGAGACTGGATGATATCGAGACTGGCAATGCTACGTGAAAGGGGGGGGGGTGGACAGAGCATCGTGACACGCTTGTTCTATCGTCGCCTGCAAAAGATAGGAAGCACCTCGCGCGCATGCATATAGGTGCTCCTGCCCGTGGGTATATAGTGTGGGACTGGTGTCTGTGTGATCTCTCTGGCTGTGAGTGGTACCTCTCGTTCGACAGCTCCGCAGGTTCCCGCGAGAAATACTGCAGACGTCTACTGATTATGATTGGCATGCAACACCTATTGGGGTTATTTGGTTTCCCTAAGCCACCTGGTGGGAGGTTTGGGAAGGCGGAGGAGGAGTTTGAGAAGGGGATGAATGAGAGGGTAAGCGAACGTATTGCCGCTAATTATGAAAATGAGACCGGCTGGAGGTGTGAGAATATCGTGCGCTTTGGGATGGAGATCTTGGAGGATAGTCAGACTGTCATTAACTGGATGTGCGGTGAATGGCAGATTCGTAGCGAACAATATGTTCGTCTGGTGGGAGTATTGCAAAATACTCTTTCGATGCTGTCTGGATGGGGACTGACCTCGCCTGCATCTGGACAGAACTTGTACAGGCATTTCTTTCGTGAGGGTAATGAACGTGCGGATAGATTGTCGTGGGAGGCCAGAGGTTGCCATGCAATTGCTGGATGGTTTGTATATGACGATTCTCTCAGTGCTCGTAAGACTGCTCTCCGTGGTGCATTCGATGGAGGTGTCAGTAGTGAAGGATGTGGAGGCGGGTGGTGGCTTCAGATTGGTATAGTAGGTAGTAGTTCCAGCGTGCAGGTTGATTTCCCCCTCTCCTCCTCCTCTTCCCCCTCCTCTTCTTCTTCTTCCTCTTCTAGCTTGCAGCGCTTCCATTGGAGCGATGTGGCCGAGGAGGCGATGAGCTTGCCTCCAGGTAGCGCGGCGACCTGCTGCGAACTGGCCGCCTGCGCTGCCTTGACGAGGGCTGCTGCTAAGGTGGCGTGCGCTCTGCTGCGACCCATCTAAGGCGGTGGGTGCTCGGCTGCACTGTTCCGCCGATTCGGATTTGGATTCTCGTGGCGGACCGTAAACCGTACAAAAAACCAAGGTTGACTGTTTACCGCCGGCTCCCAGTTGGCTGAACCGGCCAGAACGGACAATGTCACGACCTGGGGTCGGTTTTTCGAAGATTGTGAAAGATTTCAAACTTCGTTTTGAGAATCAAGATATTTGTTCCCTGCAGTCGATCATGGGGCGTTTGATGATGCAATTCTCCGGACTCTAGGTGCAGTATTTCGATCAAAACATGACTCGTAGAGCTTCCCTAATAGCGAAGTGGCGAAGCCAGGGAGTAATGACTCGTAGGAGCGAAGCGGCGAAGCTAGAGAGTAATTCCGGCGCGCTCGGGGGCTAGTTTACCAAAAATATCTCGACGGATGTTTTGTCTTTTTTGACCTGTGTAAATTCAATTTCTCAAACTCTGACCATTCGTTGGAAATCTAGTGTTTTTTCCATATTCGATCTTATTCCCGCTCGCCATCTTGATCTCAGGTCGATTGGGTACATATTACTGCCCAAAAGCATGTGGGCAGGATCGGCTGTTCAGTGTCATCTTGGCAGGTGCTCTCGGTTTTCTTCAGACGAGCTACAGAGCTGTTCGGCACAGCAATCGGAAGGGAATCATCATGCGCGGAAGTCTCAAGAATCTAGATGCCTGAATTCGATCTGCTAGCCGAAGTTCCAAGTGCTGCGAATGGTCTGGCCGCGGCTCCTAGTGCTGCTGTCCAGGCGCCTCAATCAGCTACACTTACACCCGAGGAGATGTTCGGACAAATTTTGAAGGGTCAGGGCGAAGTTACGGCGACAGTCAATGAGTTCAAAGCATCAGTTGCCTCAGATTTGCACATTATGGAACAAACTATTGACAAAACAACGACGGATGTCAAAACATTCTCAGGGCAGATGAGACAGGCCCAAGCGGATATTCAGAGCTAGAAGAACGGAGACGCCATTCATGTGCGAGTGGCTCGACAAGATATGGATCTGGTGATGCTGGCAGTGGTGCAGGGTGCAATGTGACTTGGGTACCATCGTTTATTGAATGCAGAGGCTGGGTAGCACGTGATGGATGGAAAAACCGAGAGATCAAACAAAGAGAGGCTATGCAACAACAAACGTTGACAGACAACATATCAAAATTATTGGGACTGGCTTCTTTGGATGCAACACGCAATGCTGCCTTTGATCATGCGAGAACTGCGGGTGAAAACACTGGGGGGGGGGGTGGGTGGGGGGGGGGGGGGGGGGGGGGGGGGGGTATTGGCCATACACACGTGGGCGTATATATTTTAAAAAGGGAACGACGGTGGATATCATATGGCATGTTCGGAATTGTTTAAAAGGGAGTACACTATGGGAAACGCAGATTTACCAGCGAATGTAAAGTTTCATGTTGAATGTGCGCCATGGAAAACACCCCGTGTACAACAAATTGGCAATTTCCAGAGCTGTTTTGCGGAAGTGAAGAAAACGGCGGGAACAGTTTGCAAGGGGGAGCCAGGGCCGCCGCAAACATATATATATATATGCTTCACGCAAAACCCACAAGCAGATCCCGATGCAAGAGTGTTGATTGCCGAATGGGGTTTGCACAGTGGGTGGGCGCTCCACACTAATAACTTGAGGAGGGTGGAGCCTGAGTTGGATCAAGAAGCTTTGCTAACCAAGCTCAGACAATCAAGCAATTGACGGTGCCAACCTGCCACTCAGCTCGCGGTGGCAACTTGGAATGTCAACATGAGAAATAGCGAGCTTCTACCAGCAGTGCTGGAGTATTGCCAATGTGATGTGCTGTGTTTGCAAGAGTGCCGGCATATGTCATCGGATGCATTTGAAGCATGTGGCTGGCAAGTACGTTTTAGTGCGTGCAGACGGGCTGCTCTGGCCTGTCGGGGCCCATGGGCGGCGACTATCTCTGACAGTGCATGTGGTGTGTGGTGAGAGGTTTGCAATCGTGCAATTTGCATCTGTGGCTGTGTCCTCAGTGTACATGCCCACAGTGCAGCGGGGAGATGATAGACTTGACAACTATTGTGATGTGTTAGCTAAGCTGTGTGCATGCATGCAACTATGTAGTGAACAGTACCAGGGGTCAAAGGTATTGCATTTTGTGGGGGCAGATGCGCAGACGGGGCTGGAACCGAACCTCTTCGGATTCACAGGGAAAGGATTGGAGGAGGTGTGGCTGAGGACGGATGCGAATCACCATGAGGAGAGGAGGGACATGCCCGTGCGTTTTCTGAATCATTGGGGTCTTTGTGCGGCCAACACCTACGGCGTGCGACAAGTGATGCACAGGCCGTGGAGTACCAGCAGTCACTCCAGGGTGTTGGACTACGTATTTGTGCCGACGCAGTTTGCAGGTGCCGAGGTGGGTCGGGTCAACTGCTCATTTGAATGCATGGTTGAATTTGTTGATCCTACACAGGGTCGGGCATCACGATACAGTGATCATGCGAAAGTAGGGGTGGAGGTAGAACATGCATCGGTGCGCAAGCCTTTTGTGCGTCCTAGGCCCCCGAGTCTCATCAATGTGGCCCCGGGGGATTACGAGTCTGCGAATGTGTTTAGTACACTGGCCGACGTGCAGATACAACAACACGCGACTCAACAAGGTGATATAAACATAAAAACAGTGGGAGAGATGCTTGTGAGTGCAGCGACTATGTGTAGGCATACAAAGGGCAGATCGGACACTAAACCAATTAAGAAACCTGATCAATTGGTGGATGTGGAAGCGGAGTTAAGGAGGGGTGTCTTCGGTGAGCGAAAGGAACAGCTAGCACGACGTAAAACAAAAAGCACTTCGAATAGAGTTTAGGCGTGAGCAGCTCCTCAAGGACTCCAATGGCCCCAAACATGGACCCCGTAAGTGTATCAAGGAAATGGAGTGCGACGGGATCTTGACGGAAAACAAACACAAATGGGTGGAGAAGTTAAACAAACATGTACAGTGGTCATGCGCATGTGATGGGGAGGGGGGCTCTGCGAAGGAAGAGTTGCATCGACTACGGACACAGTGGGGGGCAGAGGGCAGGACTACACTTAGAGTCATATCGATGGGTGTGTTGCTGGGGGCTCGAGCCCGCCTGAAGGGCGGGGCCGCAGCGGGCTCTGATGGCCTGGTGGCGGAGATTCTCGAAGCGGTACCTTGGAATGCATTGAGATTGGTAAGACACCCATTTCAAGAAATTCATGATCAGAAAAAGCCGTCCCCAGATTCGTGGAGAAATTTGTGTGTGCAGTTGATCCCCAAAATGAGCGTTATCCAAACATTTGGAGATACTCGTGGAATGTCGCTGTTGGATGTTATGAGTAAGTGGTATATGGCGTGCCTTCTTATGTTTGTTGAGTGACATGGACATGTCAAGAGATTGGCCACATATGGATTCCAGAAAAGTCACAAAGTACATCGCATGACGGCTCCGTTACTGCATGACACGTCATGACACCCTCTGGGGGAAGGGGGAATCTATACCTATGGGTATAACAGACATTCAGACAGCATGTGACCAGGTGACGGTTTCGATGGTGATCCGTGCGATGGAATCTCTCAGATCTCCAGTTGATTTGATTATTGCCATAGTGGAGCGGGTGATTGGAAACAGAGCTGTCTTTGATTTTCAAGATGTCAGCAGTGGGGAGATCTTGTATAACAAATCAATACGAACAGGTGGTACATAAGGATCAGTGCTCTTCAACATTGTGCTCGAGGCAATATGGGGATCTATTGTTGCAGCCTGGGGGTCTTGTAACTATGGAGTTCGATTGGAAGGCGACGGAAAACAGCAGGCGCTGGTCAATCACTTCTTCTGGGCAGACAATGTGGCGCGACTATCAACTTCAGCAAGTCAGTTGAAGAAAATGGTGGGTATGATGACTGTGGCGCTCAGACGTGCTGGCATGGACTGGAAGATTGAGAGCTTGGAGTGCCTTGTGTTAGGTTTAGAACAGAATCAGGGTGCACAATCTTTGACATGTGAACTGGGAGATGATATTTGTATGCAGGCTTGAGACCCTGACCTACCTCATCAGTTGCGTGGTGCTGTTATTCTACCGTGGAAGGGTGAGTGTGAGATATTGGGGGTTAAATTTGTGGTGAACTCGAAGGATTTTCATGCAGTGCGGCACCGCATTGATGCGGTCAGGCTGTGTTTCTTTGCTAATATTAAGTTTTATCGATCGCGGGGGGTGTGTATGAGGGAAAAATCTGACGGTACCAGCACAGTGTTCAACATAATGTATGTCACGGGTGTGTGGGATGGAATTGGGATGGAATTGCTGTGAACATGTGCTTAATATCTTGCGAAGTTTCGAGAGATGTCTAAACATGATGCGGGGGCTGCGCAAAAAGGAGACGGAGACATGGGAGGATTTCAGGGGTCGGAGTACCACCAGGTCCAGGGAGATCTTCAAAGAAGGGGGATCCAAACCACTTTTGGAAAAAGTTGTGAGGTATAACGTTGAATATGCTGTTGAGGTCTCCCAATATAAGTGTCACGTGCCTTCCACCGTATATAGTAACTCATGGCAACAGACACTGCGTGTTATGTTACATGTGTCGGGGGAGTGGACGGTGCAGAGGGATGCTGTCCTGGCGGCAGTGACCCAGGCGGTATCCATGGAGGGACGAAGACGGCTCCGAGTCAGACCGCGAATTGTGGCAGGGAGCTGGCATGCGCCGTTTGAAAAATGGAGGTCCCTCCTGTGTTTCGGTACTTGTGTAGATCTGACGGCAGTGGACGAGTTTGTGAGACACATCTCACAGGTGCCCAAAATGCAAGATATGTTTGTGCTGAGGGATAAGGAGGTGCGAATTGGGAGTCTTGCGAAGACACCGACACATGATGAGCTGGCCCGACGTCTTGCAATTACACACGAACAAACTACGATTTGGGATCCTGGGGTGGCGGGGATTGCTATCGAAATGTGTGGTGATATTTGGACGGTTGTACAATGGTTGAGGGGAGGCTGGGCGTGTCACAACAGCGGGTACGCTAAACGGATTGCCAGGTTTCAAATTATTATGTGTGACATGTGTGAACAGCATAATGCACGATGCCCTACCTACGGAAAGGATTTCTGGAAGCATATCTATATAGAGGCTGACGCCTGCAAGGATGAGCTCACACACCATGCGAGGGAAGGAAACTGTTACATAATTTACAAGCATGACTATATCAAACAAACCAAACATCAAATGCATCAGAGGATGCTGGGATGGTGGTGTGAGTAGTGAGGGTGCTGCAGGAGGCCACTGGGTTGAAGTTGCTCCAGAGAACGGCCCGTGGACACTCGTGTGCTCAGAAGCCTACATGTTTGATGTGGGCTCCACCGTGCCGGAGGCAGAATTGTCTGCTGCCGAGCGCCTGTGTACAGGTGTTGAGCATACGATTAAAGAAATTTCCTTTGCAAAGCGGAGGAGGCGGATTTAACTGGCTCTTGCCCCTAGGCTTGGGCGCTCGCGCCCTGTGTAGCCTGACCAATCACCAATTTTTGCAGAGATGATGATTACTTTCTTGATGTAACTCGAGCTGCAGATGAGCTACAGATCTGTTTGGCATAGCATTCGGAAGAAAATCATCATAAGCGCTAGTCTGAAGTGTCTGGATGCCCAAACCCGGTCTGCTACCAGAGCTGGGTACGCAAAACTATTCGTACTCTGCTAATTTTACAGAGATGATGGTGAGTTTCTTCGGCGAATCAGCTGAGGAATATGGTGAGTATGTTGACCGTGGCCCTCAGACGGGCTGGTATGGACTGGAAGATTGAGAGCCTGGAGTACCTTGTTTTTGGGCTGAGACAAAACCAGGGACCACAATCATTAGTTTGCGAACTGGGAGATGATATTTGTGCACGGGCTGGAGACCCCAGCCTACCCTATCAATTACGTGAGGCGGTGGTTTTGCCGAGAAAAAGCGAGTGCGACATACTGGGAGTTAAATTTGTGACGAACCCGAGGGATTTCCATGCAGTGCGGCACCGTATTGATGCAGGCAGGCGGTGTTTCTATGCTGATATTAAATTCTATCGATCACGCGCGGTGAGCATGAGGGAAAAATTCAGACGGTATCAGAGCAGAGTTCAACAGATCATATGCCATGGATGTGTGGGGTGGAGCTGTAATGAACATGTGCTGAACATATTGAGGAGCTTTGAAGGAAGATGTTTGAACACAATGCGGGGATTACATAGAAAAGAGACGGAAACGTGGGAGGAGTTCAGGGATCGCAGTACCAACAGATCCAGGGAGATGTTCAAGGAGGGGGGGTTCAAAACGTTGGTGGAGAAAGTTGTGAGGTACAACTTTGAATTCGCCGTGGAGGTATCCCAATATAAGTGCCACATGCCGTCCACTGTGTATAGCAAATCGTGGCAGCAGACGCTGCGCTCCATGTTGCACGTATCGGGGGAGTGGACGGTGCAGAGGGATGAAATGCTGGCGGCAGTAAGTCGGACGATGTCGAGAGAGGGAACGAGACGGCTCAGAGGCAGACCACGAATCGTGGCGAGCAGCTGGCATGCACCCTTTGAAAAATGGAGGTCGCTTCTGTGGCACGACACGTGCGTTGTACCGACGGATTGGGAGGAGTTTGTGGAACACATATCACAGATACCCAAAGTGGAGGATATGTTTGTGAGGAGGAGTAAGGAGAGGAGGATGGGAGGGTTTGCGAAGACACCGACAGATGACGAGTTGGCCCGACGTCTTGCAGTTATTAATGAACAGACTACGATATGGGACCCTGGGATGGAAGGTATCGCTGTTGAAATGTGCGGAGACAGTAAAACGGTCGTACAATGGTTGAGGGGAGTCTGGGCCTGTGACAACAGTGGGTATGCCAAACGGATCGCCAGGATACAAAATATCATGTATGATGTGAGTGAACAACACAACATACGATGCCCGACGTACGGTAGGGATTTCTGGAAACATATCTATAGGGAAGCCAATGCCTATGCTGATGAGCTGACACACCATGCGAGAGAAGGAAACTGTTACAGAATTTACAAGCACGACTATATCAAACAGAACAGGACAAACATCAAATACATCAGAGGATGCTGGGATGGTGGAGTGAGCAGTGAGGGTGCTGCAGGAGGTCACTGGATCGAAGTTGCTCCAGAGAATGGCCCGTGGACACTCGTGAGCTCAGAAGCCTACATGTTTGATGTAGGAGCCACCGTGACGGAGGCAGAATTATCTGCTGCCGAGCGCCTGTGCACAGGTGTGGAGCACATTGTTAAAGAAATTTCCTCTGCAAAGCGGAGGAGGCGGATTTAACTGGCTCTAGCCCTTAGGCTTGGGCGCACGCGCCCTGTGTAGCCTGACCAAACACCAAACTCGAGCTGCATATAAGCTGCGGGCTGTCTGGCACAGCAACCGAAAGGAAATTATCAGAAGCGCTCGCCTCGAGTATCTAGGTCCCCGAACTCGGTCTGCCACCAGAGCTTGGCCCGAACAACTATTCGTACTTTGATCTTTTTGAGAGTTGATGATGAGTTTCTCGATGGAACTCGAACTGCAGATGAGCTAAAGAGCTGTTCGGCATAGCAACCGGAAGGAAATCATCAAAAACCCTCGTCTGAAGTGTCTAGATGCCCGAACTCGGTCTGCTTCCAGAGTTGGAACGAAACTTTTTTTGTATTCTATTTTCAGAGGACGTTGCCCTTCTTGATGTAGCTCGAGCTGCAGATGAGCTACAAAGTTGTTCGGCACAGCAACTGGACGTAGATCGCCAGGAGCGCTAGTTGCAAGTATCTACATGTTTGAAATCGGTCTGCTACCAGAGCTGGAACCAAACAAGTATTCGTACTCCTGCTTCTCGTCCTCTTTCTTCTTCTTCTCCTCCTCCTCTTCCTCCTTCATCTGCTCCTTCTCCTCTTTCTCCTCCTGCTTCTTCTCTTCCTCCTTCTCATCATCTTCCTCTTCTTCATCATCATCATCGTTGTCCCTCTTCTTCCCCTCCACCCTTTCCCCCTCCTGCTCGTCATCCTCCTCTTCCTTCCCCCCTCCTTCTCCTCCGCCTGCTCCTTCTCATCCTCCTCCTTCTCGTCCTCCGCTTCCTCCATCTCCATCTCCTCCTCACTCCTTCTTCTCCTCCGCGCCCCCCCCCCCCCCCCCCTTCCCATGAAACCGCGCCCTCGCGCTCGCGGAATGCGAGATTGCCGCGCCCGCATTCCATTCATGTATATCGGGGGCGCTCTACGAGTTCCCCGCGGTAACCAAGGTTGCCTGCGGGCGGCCTTGGGTGCCGTCGGGAACTCCTTGGCGCCCCCCCCCCCGCGCGCGCCCCCCCTGCCCTCGGCCGCCCTGCTTCTTCCCGCCCCTCGGGCCTCGGCACCCCCGCGATAGCGGCTGCTACTATCAATTATTGAGATTTCTGTCTGTCAGTTCTTTGGCATCTGAGCTTGGGACATCAGGCCTCGCATTGCTGTTATTACCGTGTGCCCCTTCGACGTGAGGCGCCATGGCAGCTCAGTTTTGTTCTTGCCGTTGTATCTCTCCGATCCCGTCCTCTTCGTGGCGCCGGCGAATGCGGCGGGCGCGGCTCGTCTCGCGCAGACAGACGTATGTTGATCTAGTTCAGGAGCAAGACAGGCGCAGAGAAGTCGCGTATCAATCTTTCCAAGATGGGAATCTGGTGGCTATGTGCAACTGTTCTATCCCTTCGGTATGTTCTCCACCGGTTAGCGCAGACCATGCTTGTGTCGGTGTCGCATCGGAACCCATGCACGTGCAGACTCCCGCTGCAGTTGCTGAGATGGAGCAGGAGGAGGAGGGGGCGGAGGAGGAGTATGCTCATGCAGTTTCGTTGGCAGATTCTTTGGATTCCAAGCGTTCCGAGGGAGAAGGTGCTGCACCTTCAGGCGTTTCTGCTTGTGACGGTGCCGTTTCGGAGCCCATGGTTGCGCAGCCTTCCACGGCAGTTGCGGAGATGGATCAGGAGGGAGAGGCCGAGGAGGATTATGCTCGTGAAGTTTCTCGGGCAGTTTTTTTGGATCCTACGCGTGATGTGCCTAGCTCAAGCGTTCCTTTGGCAGATTCTTCGGATTCCAAGCGTTCTGATGGAGGAGGTGCTGTACCTCCAGGTTTGGATGTGATTGTATCTATAGGTTCGGATGGGATTGTACCCCCCGAAGGGTTGGGATGTGACTGTGCCCCCAGAGGTGCTTGTGCCCTCAGGCGTTTCTGCTTGTGTCGGCGCCGCTCCGGAGCCCATGGCTGCGCAGACTTCCGCGGCAGTTGCTAAGATGGAGCAGGAGGAGTTGGCTGAGGAGGATTTTGCTCATGAAGTTTCTTTGGCAGTTTCGTTGGATCCCAAGCGTGATGTACCATGCTCAAGCGTTTCTTTGGTAGTTTCTTCGGAATCCAGGCGTTCTGATGGAGAATGGGATGTACCTCCAGATGTGGCCCAGTCTATGGCTGAGGACCGTGAGGAGGTTTCGGCTCCGTCTGATAGTTCATCTGATCACGTTTTGGCTCCGACGACAGATCCAGTATCCAAGAAGGTAACATTTGCTCACGATGGAGGTCAGTGTGTCGACCCCGGGACAACAGCTTCGAAGTCTCGGAGTAGTTCTCCACGTACTCAGATTGAGACTTCTTCAGCTTCCCTGGGTCACAAAGTTCCCTTGAGAATGAAGCGTTACTCCTTTAAACGTGTGGGGTGGGCTTCGTTGGTCCAACCATTTTCGGCTTCTTTCCTGCATCAGTGGCTATCCCTTCCTGGCGAAGATGGAAAGACTTCGATGATCGAGCGGCTCCGGAGGCTGCCCAAAGGTAGCGGCAGTGATGGTGCTAGAGTGTTTTGGGATATTGGTGACAATAGTAAATGGCCTGACCATGCTCCCAGCGATGTTCTGAAGGCCAGAACTGAGGTAGTAACGATGTCAGACCAATGGTTCCAGCGCAACGTCAGGAATCATCGTGAATTGTATGCCGAGGCGGATAGAGACAAGAGAATTGGGCTTTGTTGGGAAGTTGGGCAAGTTGGGGAAGAGAGCTGGATGTGGTGGAGTTAGGGATGATGTTCAAGGGTGCGTCGAAGGGGTGCGGCAACAAGCATCGGAGACGGCGCTGAGAGTTATGTGATTGAGCCTGCACGCGTTTCTGTTTGCCCGCCCTCTCTCCCCCCCGCTGTTTCTGCCCCTGGGTTCGCTTTGGCTCTTTGGGCTTTTTGCCGCTTCCCCGCTTGCTCTTCCCTCGGCTCCCCGCTGGCAGGACTCGTGAGACATTCCAGGTTGTACATTGCTGTGTATATACAAGCAGCTTCGCTGATTTGTTGCACCTTTACCTTGCTGGTGCATCTGAGCGAGTGTCGGGGCGTGTCCCAGTCCGATGGCTTTGCACCTGTCTGTTTTAGTTTTCAGTTGAGGTGGTTTAGGTTCCTCTGCAGTCTCATCTTGAGTCTGTGGCAGCCTTTAGTGCTTGCAACGGTGAATGCATCGTTGTCACTTCTGTGCTGTCTCTGGGTTTGCCGTTTGTGCAAAGCGCCAGCTGATTATGCGTTGTCTCGACCTGCAGCCCCGTCGGCTGCTGCCTGGTCTGACCGCAAACCGCAAACCAAGGTTGACGGTCTACCGCCGGCTCCCAGTTCCGGCGCGCTGGGGGGCTAGTTGGCAAATTATCCTGGCGACGGACCCAACCATATGCAGTTGTGAGTATCGCAATTGTGAGTATCTTCTTCGGTGGCGCTCCCTATGGGGCCACAAACCGCATGAGGGGTGTGCCGAAATGTGGCGGGGTACACAACGCAAAGGAATACGATAGATCTGATTACGAGAGAAAGAACGCGGGTGAGTCAGAGCGCGAGGGAATCTGAGTATGAATGGGTCTGCGCGCGAGTGAATATATTTGCATGAATGCGATCATGGAACCGCCTAGTGTAAGTGTCGAGCATGCCTGTCCGAACACACGTGACACTGGGCGTGGCCGCCGCAGGCAGCTTCCGCGGGAACCCCGACGGCAGCGTCCGCACGTCGCGACGCCCATGTCGGCACGCCTCTTGCGAGGATCGCGCCCGCTTTCGGCTCTTCTTTTCCTTCCTCTTTGCCCGCGCACTCCAAAATCCAAGGCTGCGGGCGCAGCGCAGCGCGGAGTCCCCGCGACGCGCGCTGGTCGCCCCGGGCGGGGTCCCAGCGACGCGCGCGGGTCGTCCGCTGCGCGAAGCAGAGAGAGCTGACTAGCTAACTGGCTGGCTGATAGCGGGCAAGTCTCTGACCGCTGGGCAGAGCGACGACGGGCGAACGAGGCGCCGGGCCCCCCGCAGCACGGAGTTCCCGCGACGCGCGCTGGTCGCCCCGAGAGGGTCCCAGCGACGCGCGCGGGTCGTCCGCGGCGCGAGGCCAAACAATTAGTCGGGCAGTCGAGAGAAGGCGCGGCTCGGGGGAGACGCTCCTCAGGTCAGGCCTCGCGGATGAACTCGGTGAAGCCGAGCTCCCTGGCGAGGGCCGTCGCTTCCCTCCTGCGCCGCTTCGTGCGCGCCGCAAACTGCTCCAGCTGCTTCCGCAAGCCCTGCGGCGGCCCTGCCAGGAAGAACTCGATGCGCGGCGCCCGCATGAGCAGGAGGTCCTCGTGGCGCGTGGCGCGCGAGAGCAGCGCGTAGAGCTCCAGCCACCAGTCGTCGTCCTCCTTCTTGCCGTTCCCTACCTCGTGGCGGCCGCAATCCAGGATCACGCCTGGGCGACGTCGACCGAGGGAGCAGCGCGCCGGGCAGCCGACGGCCCAGGGCGAGAGTCCACAGGACCGAGAGATGGTCTGGCCGCGGACTGCTCGCGCCCCGGAGGTCTGGCCGCCCCCAGAGCGCCGTTCCCCCGCCCCGTCGCCTTCGCGCATGGTGCGCCCCTGGCACGCCACCGTGGTGATGACCCTGCCGTGCGAGAAATGCGGGGGGTGTGCCGAAATGGGTGGGGGTGACGCATGCGGGCGGCGGCGCTGAGGCCTTCGGTGGAGCTCCCTATGGAGCCACGAAACGTGTGAGGGGTGTGCCGAAATGGGTGTGGGGACGCATGCGGCCGCGGGCACTGGGGCCTTCGGTGGAGCTCCCTATGGAGCCACGAAACGTGTGAGGGGTGTGCCGAAATGGGTGTGGGGGACGCATGCGGCCGCGGGCACTGGGGCCTTCGGTGGAGCTCCCTATGGAGCCACGAAACGTGTGAGGGGTGTGCCGAAATGGGTGCAACGCGCGGCGCGGGCACTGGGGCCTTCGGTGGAGCTCCCTATGGAGCCACGAAACGTGTGAGGGGTGTGCCGAAATGGGTGTGGGGGACGCATGCGGCCGCGGGCACTTCGGTGGGATTCGAAACGTGTATGTCCGACGTGCATGCAGGGGCCTTCGGTGGAGCCCCCGCAGGAAGCCACGAAACGTGTGAGGGGTGTGCCGAAATGGGTGTGGGCGCATGCGGAACTGGGGCCTTCGGTGGAGCTCCCTATGAAACGTGTGAGGGGTGTGCCGAAATGGGTGTGGGGGACGCATGCGGCCGCGGGCACTGGGGCCTTCGGTGGAGCTCCCTATGGAGCCACGAAACGTGTGAGGGGTGTGCCGAAATGGGTGTGGGGGACGCATGCGGCCGCGGGCACTGGGGCCTTCGGTGGAGCTCCCTATGGAGCCACGAAACGTGTGAGGGGTGTGCCGAAATGGGTGTGGGGGACGCATGCGGCCGCGGGCACTGGGGCCTTCGGTGGAGCTCCCTATGGAGCCACGAAACGTGTGAGGGGTGTGCCGAAATGGGTGTGGGGGACGCATGCGGCCGCGGGCACTGGGGCCTTCGGTGGAGCTCCCTATGGAGCCACGAAACGTGTGAGGGGTGTGCCGAAATGGGTGTGGGGGACGCATGCGGCCGCGGGCACTGGGGCCTTCGGTGGAGCTCCCTATGGAGCCACGAAACGTGTGAGGGGTGTGCCGAAATGGGTGTGGGGGACGCATGCGGCCGCGGGCACTGGGGCCTTCGGTGGAGCTCCCTATGGAGCCACGAAACGTGTGAGGGGTGTGCCGAAATGGGTGTGGGGGACGCATGCGGCCGCGGGCACTGGGGCCTTCGGTGGAGCTCCCTATGGAGCCACGAAACGTGTGAGGGGTGTGCCGAAATGGGTGTTGATGATGATGATGATGGGAGGGGGGAGGAGGCAGCGGGAGGAAGGAAGGAAGGAAGGAAGGAAGGAGAACGCGGGGCACCGTCTCTTCAAAACGAGGACCCAACACCACAGGATGGTTGGGAAAAAATATCCACGGAAGTTTTGAATCATTTTGGTTAGTTAAAAATCAATTTCTCGAAATCAGAACATTTTTTAGAGCTCTAGTATTTTTTCCCCCATATTCGATCTTAGCTCCGTTCGCCATCTCAGTCTCAGGTCGATCGGGTACATATTACTGTCGAAAAGCATGTGGGCGGGATCGGCTGTTTAGTATCATCTTGGCAGCTGCTGTCGGTTTTCGGAACTTATCTCGATGTGTAGAAGAGCTACAGAGCTGACAGGCACACCTAGTCTATCTAGAGTCATCAGGCGCGCGAGTCTTAAGTATCTAGATGCCTGAACTCGGTCAGCTACCAGAGTTGGGTCCGAAAAACTATTCGTACTCCGCTACATTTCTAAGCTGACAATGACTTTCTTGATGTAACTCCAGCTGCAGATGAGCTACAGAGCAGTTCGGCACAGCGATCGGAAGAAAATAATCCGGCGCGTTAGTCCCAGGTATCTAGATGTCTGAACTCGCTCTGTTACCAGAGCTGGGTCCGAACAATTATTGGTACTCTGCTAATCTTGTAAGCGATACCGATGGTTTTCGTGGCTCAACTCGAGCGGCAGATGAGCTACAAAGCTGTTTGGCACATCTATCGGACGAACATCATTAGGATCGCTAGTTCAGAGTATCTAGACGTCTGAGATCGGTCTGCTACCAGAGCTGGAACCAATTCCCTATTCGTACCCTCGCGCGAGCGGAATGCGAGATTGCAGCGCCCGTATCCCACTCATATATAGCGCAAGGAAGCTCTACGAGTTCCCAGCGGTAGCCAAGGTTGACTGTTTACCGCCGGCTCTCAGTCGAACGCGCCAGAATCGTCTGCAGGAAAATATCTGAATGACTCATAGAGCTTCTCTAAGAGCGAAGCGGCGAAGCTAGAGAGTAATTCCGGCGCGCTGGGGGGCTAGCTGGGAACAAATCTCGACGGAAGTGCCTCGTAGAGCTCTTCGACGAGATGAGCTAAGAAGAATTCGGGCGCGCGGTGGAGCTAGTTGGCCGATATGGCCAGAACGGACAATTTGGTGACCTGGGGCCGGCTTTTCGAAGATTCTGAGAGATCTGCAAATGCGTTTTGAGAATCCAGTTTTTTGTTCCCTGCAGTCGGTCATGGCGCGTTTGATGGTGCAATTCTCAGGCCTCTAGGTGCAGTATTTCGATCGAAACATTTCCGGGAACCAACGGTGCCAAACCCGAAAAATACATGTGGCGAGTTTTCAAGCTGACATGCGAGAACGCTCTTCCCTCTTCATCTGGGCGCTGTTTCTGTGTGTCGAGAGCTCTACGAGGGTTCCAGCAGTAACCTGGTTGACGGTTTACCGCTGTCGGTTTAAACCCGGTTTCTTGAGATTTGAACATTCGTTAGAGCTCTAGATTTTTCCTCATATTCGATGTTATTCCCGCTCGCCTTCTTAATCTCAGGTCGATCGGGTACATATTACTGTCAAACAGCATCTCGGCGGGATCGGCTCTTCAGTGACATGTTGGCAGGTGCTCTCGGTTTTCTGTACTTAACTCGAGCTGGCAGGCACACCTAATCTATGTAGAGTCATCAGGCGCGTTAGTCCAAAGTATATAGATGTCCGAACTCGGTCTGCTACCAGAGCTGGGTCCGAACAACTATTTGTAATCTTCTGATTTGTTGGAGATGATTATGCGTTTCTTGATGTAGATCCAGCTGCAGATGTGCTACAGAGCTGTTCGGCTCAGCAATCGAAAGATATTCATCAGAAGCGCTAGTCTGAAGCATCTAGATGCCCGAACTCTGTCTGCTACTAGAGATGGACCCCGAAAACTATTCGATCTGCTAATTTTCTAGATATGGCGTTGAGTTTCTGGATGAAACTCGAGCTTCAGATGAGCTAAAGGGCTGGTTTGCACAGCAATCGGAAGAACATCATCAGAAGCGCTGTTCTCAAGTATCTAGATGCCCGAATTCGGTCTGCTATCAGAGCTGGGTCCGAACAGCTATTCGTACTCTGCTAATATTTCAGAGATGATGATGAGTTTCTGGATGCAACTCGAGCCGCATATGAACTACAGAGCTGTTTGGCACAGCAATCGGAAGGGAACCATCATAAGCGCTACTCTCAAGTATCTAGATGCCCGAACTCGTTCTGCTACCAGAGCTGGTTCCGAAAGAACTATTCGTACTCTTCTAGTTTGTTTTGAAGATGATGCTGATTTTCTTGATGCTACTCAAGCTGCATATGAGCTACAGAGCTGTTTGGCACAGCAATCGGAAGGGAATCACCAGACGCGCTAGTCTCGAGTATTTAGATGCCCAAGTTCGGTCTGCTACCAGAGCTGGGCACGCCAAACTATGCGCACTTTTTTGGGAGATATTATGAGGGCTTTCTTCAGATAACGCGAGTTGCAGATGAGCTACATAGTTGTT